AATTAACTTATTAAATTATTATTGGTAAATTATGTTAAACAATTTATTTTTTCCCCCTAAATTTCCAAGGCTTCGTCATGGCTAATCTGAACCGACTCGAATCGCACACCTGACTTTGGTGAGTGAGTCTCTTAGGGGGGATTTTCTGCATACACAATAACTCGAACATGAGACTTTACTTAAGTGATATCAAGATGCTCACCACTTGAACCAACCTTGTTGGTCTAAATAATTTAGTTTTATAATTATTGTTACAATATTTAAAAAATATTAATTTAATTATTTATTGTTTTTTTAAATCAGAGTTATAAAAGAAAAACTATTATAGGCAATTAAATATTGCTTTCGGGACTAGCTACCACTTCGCATAAAAAATTGTTTCCATTACAAAACAACCGTCAATTTAAAAGTAGTGTGTTTTGTTTTCTCTTACTCTCTTATTATAGAGGTGAGTGAGGTAAATATTTTCCTTTTATGCGTGAATGTAACTTAATTTAAATTAAGTCAAAATTTATTATTATTTTTTGTGTTGATGTGTGAGGTAGCAATTTACAGTGATTCATACAGTGAGAAATGAGATTGATTATAAGTTGGGGATTGGTGGTTTATCCTTTTTTGATTTGAGGTAGTATTTTTATCTCTAAATCAGGGTACTAATAAATAATTAATCCACTAAGCCAACTCGTTTATTCCAGTTGAAATAATAGTACAAGTTTACCGAGTGCTGGAGAGGTTCTTAGGGATGCAAATGGCGATTGGATCGTTGTATATGGACGTCAGATTTATTGTTGTTCGTGATGGAGACTGAGATGTGGGGAGCATTCAACGGACCTGGAAATGTCGGATACGGGCTGTTGTTTCTCGTTAAAGTTTCAAATTACCATATATTTTAGAATCTTTTATTTTATATTTTGATAATTTATTTTTACTCCGAAATTTTATAAGTTTGTTTTTACTCCTCTACTAAAATTTTAGAAAATTCGTCCTCATAATATAAAATCTGAGTCCATCCGTTCAAGATACGGGATTGCAGAAAGTAATTGTTGAAGTTGATGACTCCATGTTTGTGTGTGAGACTGGTGCTGAGTTGCAACATATAGTTGGGTTGATAACAATAATTCATGGGTTGGACATACTTCATAAAACAGAGAGAATAATAATTTGAAGCTTTCACATACATGCGTACACACGCATATTATAGCAACCGGCTGATTCCCAGCATGGAAAACTTTTTATATACAGGCTAAAAGCCTCAAGGGCGGCAGTTGACTGTTGAAACCTTTAATGAACTATTTAACAAACAAATTGCTTGGGGATATGGAACACATTAGATATATGTTTACATTACAAAGGTGGAGGACAGAATTTTTCCTTTACCTCCATTTTGTCTGCTTCATTTGTCACTTTTGAATCCTTGGGTGCTTGCCTTGTTGCCCAATGTTCTTGTTATGTCCCTCCATATTGTATATATATATATATATGAGGCTTTATATCTGTTAGCTAGATACGAGTTTTGGGTTTCGCGTTGAATTCTGTTCCCAACTCAGTTTGTATATATAGCTTTTAATCACTGTTTATATTTTTGTTTCAAGGCATTGAAAGCAAGTTTTGAAGCAGATAGAAAAAAGGTTTTTTACACAATTTGGTGGGAATTATTGCCAATTTTATTAAGGTAATTTAGTTAGTGTATGTTGTAAATTTATAGCCATTTTGCAGGTAGTAAAAATTGATTTTGCTTTGCAACAAGATTCAGCATACTAGGGGGGAGTTCTTAACGTCATAAAGAAATGGCATCATCTTTGGAAGAGCTTCTTACATAGGAAGGGTTTAGAGGGAAGACTTCGGTTTCGAGATTGAGATCGTCCGTCGGATTAGAAGCTTCGAGCAAGCCGGATTCACCGTTTAGTAACAGAGTTAAGAGCCAGAAACGAGGTCCATGCATCTCGGTACAACTGGAAGGGTGAACTGTGGAGAAGTAGAGTACTGCTACACATAGGACCAAGATTATCTTGTTAGAAGAGAGACTATACGCTGAAATGAGAAACGAAAATAGAGACAGGCTTGAAGGAGGAGGGAAGATTTTCGTAGAAAGGAGATCGTAAAGAATGCATTCGCTAATGTCGGGAGACATAGTTTAGGGAGACAAGATACAAGGAACGACAATGCTTCTACTAAATATCCAATCGGTCGAAGAAGCAATAGCGATACACATCGAAACAACCCGAAGCAGCGGAATGCTGCTTATGACAATGCTAATAGAGATGGTCACCGTGAAAAGCATGATGATTTGGTACCTACAGTTCCTCAACCTGCGCTTGATAAAGTTGCTGTTCAAGTAATTATATCCATCTTAAGCGGCTATATTAAACACTTTCTCGAAGACGAGGAATTCCGTGCTTCCCTTCATCTCAAATGTTTCTCTTCGGTTGACGTAATCGACTAGAAGACTGACATTCAAGAAAGTCATTGTCATCCTCGAACAAGTAATTCAGGTAGTAGAAAAGCCTTCAGAGTTTGTAAGTGCAAAGGAACTGAAAAAAGCTTCATTGCAGCTTAGCGTGATAACTGGCTTGAATTCAAATGATTTGATGGACGGATTCATGTTCGGGGTTCCTAACTCATGCTGTCCTCGTGTGCTCATCTTTACCTCTGTGTGACATATAAGCTACAAAAGAAAGACAGGGCTTCAGCGAGGCATCTTTTGCAAGTGTTTTGTGATTCACCTTCTCAGGCACGGATGAATCTCTTGCCCAAACTGTGGGACGATCTGTTTTTTTCCGCATCTCAAGGCTTGGTACGAGCAGGAAGCTAATTCTCTATCAGATGCACCGAGCAGGGAGAGGAAAGTGAAGCTTCTTGAGAAAGTGTATAATGAAACTGTGGATTCTAGCACTTACAAAATAGCTACTTATTAAAAGGATTGGCTCACAGAGGGGATAGAAGCTCCTTTCCCTCGCATCCGTGTTCCGTCGGTATCGGTTGGAGACATTCAGCAAGAGGACTTGCTTGCTCATTCTCCTGTTCTAGCGAATCCAACTAGTCCATTCTCACCTTAGCCGATGGTGAGTAAAAAGTTTTATGATGCTGTATTCGGACGATCCAGTAAACCCGTACTAGACGAAACCGGAGATAACGAGTCACATTACTGTGATAAATGTGAGAGAAGCTCATATAGCTCTACTATTTGAACAAACATTAACATGCTCTTCAGAGACAGTGAAAGATCCATACCAAAATAATGGTGAAGCTTCCTCCAACAGTCCGCAGGATGATGCATCCTTTCTAGTAAAATTTTCCCCTAATACATACTCCTATATCTTGTTATTTTCTGATTATCAGCTAAGACAAATGTTTTTAAGAAAACCTTTTTCATGATTTACCTATGGTGCAGGAAGATGGCGTCTCCTCGACAGCTGAGGAAGAATGGAAACTGCCAGGACTGAGCATGCTGCAAGAAAAAAGAAACTTACAATACATGGCAGACAACTGCAAAAGATTACGACGAGCTACATACAACTGTTCCTTTAACTTCCAATGAACTCATGCTCAAAACGCTAGCAAAATCGGCATTCCAGTTGCGACAAACTAAGATCACAGATGAACTTACTCTCTTTGGTCTTCCAAACCTTAGTGAAGGTAAGTTGAAGGGAAAACGTTATGAATGCTTGAGCAGTTGTGCTTTATATTCAAGGTTTTGAATCGATTACTAATATCGATCTTGTCTCAGTGCAGAGTTGCATGAAACATACAGATGTTGCGATGAAGAAACCTTATTCTCAAACATGCATAAGGGCTTTGTTTGCCCTCTGACAGGAAAGTTGTTCGAAGACCCGGTGACCCTAGAGACGGGTCAAACCTTTGAAAGAGTGGCCATCAAGGAGTGGTTTAATCAGGGAAACAAGACTTGTCCAGTAACAGGGAAATCGTTGGATTATCTGTTTGTGCCTTATACCAACATTATTTTGAAACGTGTAATCGACGGTTTGAAAACGGACGATTCTGCAAAAAACTTGGCTTTGGCCTTTCTAATAGTTGGAAACTCAGAGGAACAGGGGTTACCAAGGAGGGAGGAGACGGCCATATTCACTTTAAACCTATTTCTTACCACTGTAAGCAAAGAAGAAAGACTAATGAATGCCAAACACCTAATTTCTCTTGGAGGTTTGCCATTTCTTATTCAAAGGTTTAAACCAGGAAATATGGAAGAGAACATATGTGTTGCTGCACTTCTTTCCTGTTGCATCGAAGCAGATTCGATCTGCAGATATCCCATAGTGCGAGACATTAATAAACAGTGTCTGTTTGAGCTGGTTTGCTGCGAGCAAGTTAACTTGAGAACAAATGCAGTGTTGTTACTGGTGGAACTGATATGTTTGAGCAGGTTTGTGATTAATAGTGTCCTTAACTCTGTGTCTACCTTGTCATTAGTAGTTGTGAGTGAAAATATGAGATTTCATTCGATATCTATTCTGATGAGCACCATCCGCTTGATCACTTATTCTGAGTCTCTTCTTCATCATAATAGGAGGAAAGATGTCCCACAACTTCTTAGCGACTTGCAGAATGAAGAGAATGAATCTTATGCATGTTGTTCATGATTATCTCCAAAATTCTCCTCCTGTACAAAGACCCTTGGTTGCCACGCTGTTGTTGAACATAGATTTGTTGGTAAGCTTGTTAGATTTAATAGTATATTCTAAATGTTTTATTTCTCATACCAAACTAAGTTCCAAGACTCAGATGAACACGTTCTGCAGGTAGATCCTAAAAAATATGGCTTATACAGACAGCAGGCTGTTGATGCCATTACAGAAGCATTGGATAGCAGCTTAACCGATGAGGAGGTTCGAGAAAAATGTTGTCGAGCATTACTTATTCTGGGAGGATGTTTTTCTTTGACCAGGAACTTATTGACAGAGGACTGGATTCTGAAAGTAGCTGGGGTCAATGATGACCGTGAAGCGAACTCTGAAGAGGATTTGAATATTGGTGATGTATTCTATCAGTAAGTTTCATCTCTAAGTTCCATTCACCATTCTCTCCTTTCTTCTATAATAAGCATATAGGACTAGTTCCATTGTCCGTTCTTTTATTATAACCAGGAAGATGAAGAACATGCCATTGCAGAGTGGTCGAGGAATTTGTCGGCAGCACTAGTCGGCGGCGGCAAAAAGTCATTTTTAGAGGCTATTTCTAAGTCTTTAAGCTCGGGATACCAAGATTTGGTGACTGCCTGCCTAACAACTATAGCGTGGTTGACCGGTGTATTACCATCACCAACCGGTGCTGAGTTGCAGCAGACCATATGCACTCTCATCCCACAGCTCAAACAAAGCCTTGAAAGTGGGGAACAAGTTAAACATAAGATTTTTGCTTCAATGTCCTTCCTGAACTCAAGTAAAGTTCCAGGTTAGCAACCATTCATTACTATGTTTCTTTAATTTCCATGTAATGGTACCATGTTTAAGGTTGAACAATAAGCTCAGCCATTGCTTATGTCCCAAACGTATTTAACCATGTTTTTTAAACCTGAGGATTCGGCTTACGGAAAAGGTAAGTGGTTCAGATTTGAAACAATCGAGTTCGGATTATGCTTTAAACAATAAAAATGACCTCTCCCTTACTAATTGCAGAATACAGGGTACTGCTAATGACAATTGCAGAAGAGATGGTGATTCCTCTAAGATGCCTTGCTGATATAACATGGACAGCAAAGGAGCTATACACCATAACTTCCGCTACGACAGACCTCTAAATTTTAGGAAGATGCTGCTGCTCTTGCTTCCACAGTTCTAAAGTTTTGCATATATTTATGTTTGATAAAATGTCGTATACTTCTGTAAACATGTAAAGAAAGTTTCTAGTTCTCCCTGATTCTTAGAACTGTTAATAGAATTATCATCAAGAACATATCAGGGAAAATACTGTGACATTGTCAAAAGAAGAAGAAAGACTTCTGGTAATGTCTTTAGATAAGATGAGCAAGTTTCCATTCCCCAGAGCCAACAGGTAGGTTAGATTAGGTATGCATAGAAAAATCATCACATAAGAAATACGAAAAAACTGGAGACTTGTGACTTCAAGCTACCATTGCATTGCGCAAAAACAAAACTCATAGTACACCAAAAATAAACAGGGAAGGGTTTTTACCTAACATAAAACATAAGGAAATTATATTCCTGGTTTGCGAAGTTCTTCTGCTCCATGTGCGAAATGACACCTATCACCAAAAGTGCAGGATCCTTTGGAAAAATTCTCACAAAGCTTAGTCTTTAAGTTGTTTGCTGAACCCATGCCACCCCTAGCAGGATTCTTCTTGCTAGTTCCGGAGGATGAACTAACATTAAAAATTCTCGAACCATTGCACTAGCTTCCTTGATCTGATCAAAAGTTCCCTCCAGCTCAATGTTCTTTGAACTAGGATCTGACTCATTGTCTCTTATGGAAAACTTGGCTCCTGTAACACGACAAATATGCTTCGAGTTCACACCATTTTTACCGATAATAGCTCCAGCAAGGGATGCATCAATGCTGATCTTGGCTGTAGCTGAAGCTCCAAAGCTGGCTGCAGCACCAAGACCCTGTGAGGGTGGCTCCATCCTACTAGCCATCCTTCCTGGCATAGATCCCATAACACGAGGATCTTCATAAGCAGGATCAGTTGGCTTTCCAAGTTCCCACTCCCCATGGGCAAAATGACATTTATCACCATACTTGCAACCTTCGGGGCTGCTGAATTTGTTGCACAAACGTGTTTTTACAGCTGAAGGCAATGAGCCATTGGAGAAGGATGGTGGGGCTGCTGCATTTCTGGAAGCTGTAGGAAGAGCTGGGTTGCTACCAAGCATCTGAGACACCGCTTTGATGCCACCAGGAACATAGTGCAAGAAGTGACAGCTCTCACCAAATGGGCACCCAGAAGTGCTGTTGTGAGCAAACCTCATGTATCAGGCCAATATCAATGAAAAACACTTTTACTAATTCTATAATATTACATGTCAGTAATTATATATATATTAACAATGAAATCTAATATAATTGTGAATTCCAGGCTCTTCAAGCATTTATAAGCTCATTCAATACCAAGAAATAGTAATAGTGTTACTGCTTTAGCATTCAGGAATAGCAAAAGATAGCAATCTTTTTTATTTTTAAATCATTGAGTAACAAGCACAAAGAACATGCCACATCCCCTTGTAATTGTCCAAAACCAAGCAAATCAACAACCCATTAAACCAAAGCAACTTTGAAAAGAAAAATCATTATCTTGAGACTTCAATCTACTGGTCATTTCCTCCCCAAATACATTGTAAAACTGACGAGTCTGACAGGGGAAAATTGTCAAGATCATGCAGCCAACAATTGTAACAATGACAGTTATAACAATAAAAATAGCATTATAACTATTTCTCACTACATGATGTATATGTGAAATTTTCAACTATGGAATACTACATGACCTAGAGAAAATCCAGATACATTCTTAATTTCTCTCCAAGATAAAGATAAAAAAAACTATCCGGAATGCACACAAAACCAGGTTAACATTATAACAGATAATCAATTCATGTACAAAAACAAAATTTGAGTTTCTCTCATTACTTTTCTATTCACTACACTTCAAAACACTTTTAGCCACCATTGGTAGATATGATATTCACAAGGAGTCGGATCCTACAAATAGGTGGTTATAATGTGAAAACTGGAAAATATGGAGGGGAATGCAGTCACAAAGTTTTAAATAGAAATACACACAAGATAAGATAAGACTATTGATCAATGACAGTTATAACAATAATAATAGCATTACAACTATTTCTCACTACATGATGTATATGTCAAATTTTCAACTATGGAATACTACATAACCTAGAGAAAATCCAGATACATTCTTAATTTCTCTCCAAGATAAAGATAAAAAAAACTATCCGGAATGCACACAAATCCAGGTTAACATTATAACAGATAATCAATTCATGTACAAAAACAAAATTTGAGTTTCTCTCATTACTTTTCTATTCAGTACACTTCAAAACACTTTTAGCCACCATTGGTAGATATGATATTCACAAGGAGTCGGATCCTACAAATAGGTGGTTATAATGTGAAAACTGGAAAATATGGAGGGGAATGCAGTCACAAAAGTTTTAAATAGAAATACACACAAGATAAGATAGACTATTGATCAACGACATTAATTGTGTTGCACAAGAGGGGAAAGGCCAATTAAACCTAAATTTGATAAAGCTTTTGACTTTACTAGAGAAAAAAAAAATTAAAGGACAATAGTCACAACTTAAAATGGGAAAATAATTCCTTATCTCTTGAGCCTTTCCATGTGACCTCGACTTGAAAAAGAAATTTTGCAGACAAAAGCATTTTACGAGAATCTGGAGGTTATTTAAACAGGTGAGGGAGAGAAACCAAGATTGGAAAAGAACACCACAACAAGAAAATCCTCTAAACTATATATAATTAAATAAAAGATGCATTTTTCAAACAATGAATCAGGGACAACCTCCCAAATATTTAATTCAAAAGCAAAATCATTGCTTTCATGAAATGCTCAATTATGTTATATTCTGTTTAAAAATTTAATGTCTGTATTTGCATCTGGATTAAGAACCCCAAGATGCATCACCAAAGATACATTCTAATGCAAATTTGGTTCTATTTATGAAATAGACTACCCCATACCATACTTCATGTAATTATTCAATTTGCCATATACTGCTTTTATTGAAAGATTATGGTATGCTATAAGATAGAAAGTTTTGCATCCTGCAGCTTGCTTTCTGCTTGCATATAGGCCAGGAAGTAATTAATCGCTTTCTGCTTGCATATAGGCCAGGAAGTAATTAATCAAGATTTTTACCAAGAAATCAACCATTTCTGTTCCATAGTCTTTCTTATCAAGACTAGAGCCATGAATATACCTGTATCATCATTTTAATGACCAATTAATTAGTCATAAGGGGTTAAGATTTGAACCTGAAAAACTTCGTGCATGGCTTCGATTTGCTTCCTATACCAGTTGGAGCGGACTCCGTTTCTGTTGCAGAACATAATTAATTCATCTCAGTTTCACTTTAAGTTTTATTGATTTTGGGACTTAACAAAGATTTCAATACCGTGTTACCATTTCTTATCCCAACTACAAAAGAAAATTGCACTTTATTAGATATGAATATTGGTTTACATCATTTTTTGAATATAATCACCAACATTACTAGAAAATTGAATAGTGGGCTGATAATTTGGTAATCACATCCAGTAAAAGACTTGTAAAATTGTTCCATACGTTAAAACAATACTCTACTTTTAAGAAAAATAGAGAAAGAAAAGAACATTTAAACATAATGTTTTACATTTTTCGCTTCCCAGCAAAAATAAATCAACAATGCGTTTCTAGAGTAAGTTGAGCTTCCTATTTTCCAAGATCTAAGTTTAAGAAGATTAAGACAAAATAAAGTTCTTTCCCTTTCATGATTTTCTGGATATATATATCAGAAGGCATTCCCAAACCTCTACAAGAAACAACATGAAAGAATTTGCCAAATTTTAACATACAAATCTATAATGGAAAATCAAAACTCTAACAACTGCAACAAACAACAGAAAAATATAACATAATTTCAGCCTAAGTATGCTATCATTCTTAAACATTCAATAAAAGCTTGTCCAGAATGGAACAAGATTCAATGGACTGCATATTTAATATACTACCACATAATAGAACCACACAGGAAAATTGAGAAAGGAACAGCCATCAACATCACAATACACTTGCTATGCAATCCCAGAGACACTAAAAAATGCAAATGAAGAATCACATGCAAAATTGAAACTTGCTGCTGCTTATGCTCAGTAAATCCAAACTAAGTGAAATAGTGCACACAAAACACTTATGGAGGATGCTTGGACATCAGCAATAGATTTGAAAAGTCCACAGGCTGGTTTAACTAGTTGCCACTCTCCATTTAACAGGAAATAAGAACAAATCCATTAAGCTAACATATATTGTTAAATGGAAATGTGAAACAAATTAAACCCATTTGTAGGGCATATAAGCCACATGCTCAAAGAAAGAGTAATATCCCAAAATCTCAATTTATATGTATATTATGTTTGATTGTACAGTATAATCTTAAAACCTCTAAAACTCTATGTAGTAACCATATAAAGTATAAACCTGCTTGTAGTGTTCTAAAGCCCCACGATCTTGTACTCTCTTGCGTGTTTGAATGAGGAAGAATCAAGCAAAATTTTTAACTCAAAATGTTCCCCAACTTTCCTTTCTATTCCTCTTGACAAAGCTTCCATGTTCAATTCATATTAAACTTGGTATAATGTGTTCAATTCAAATTCATCTTCATACATTCCCAGCCGCCAATGTATATATCCATGTACTAAACTATAACTAACACTCAAATCTCCATATGTGCTTTCCCAGCAACAAAACACTGCTAGACTACACAAATTCAAAGCTTTCCACTTTTTCAGTACTTCAAGAAGCAAAACGAAGAAAGCAAGAGAAGTTCAAATATCAGAAACCACCGTTTTCATCTCAAATACACTACGAACGAACTCGTACAAACATAGAAAATATATATACAGATAGTTAAACATATTCACATATGCATGTGTAAAACCTAGTTGAAAGTTCTCACCTGGCTTGAATTTCTTGAAGCCGCCATTGCCGTTCTCTGGCCTCCCTCTTTTGCGTCCACCAGCACCAAACTCCATAGGACCAAGAACGAGATCCGAGAAAAAGGAAAAGAAAACGAAAAGAGTAAACCTAGAACAGAGAATGTGAATTAGGGTTCGAAGTAAAAGGGAAAGGGGGCAAAGGGCTTGAAGGAGGGAGAAAGGAAAAGGGAGGGAATTGAAAATTAGGTTAAACTGCAGT